TGCTATGCGGGAAGTGCACCATCCTCGAGCGGGCACGTGTGGAAGCGGCCTCGGAAAGGATGGGCGATGCACGCAAGAGTCTGCTAGTAAGGGGGGGGGGGCGGACCTTGCCGCTCTGCCGCGCCTCACCGCGCCAGGGGGCCACGGTGGCGCATCGGCGAGGCATCGCCGATTCCAGCTCGGTGTTTCCCAGTCTGAGACGGTCCCCCCCGAACGTTCCCCCTCCCATGACCAGGGGTGTGCGGAGAGCATGGCCGGGGCCACGAGTATTCCTACTTCTCATGGCCTCCTCTCCTGGCTTCAACACGTCTTCTGGCCCGAGCCATGATTTGCGCTGCCCCCCCTGTTGGACGCTGCCTCCACGTCGCGACGAGCATGCATTCCGGTGCGGTTTTGTTGTGCCCGTGACCGTGATTGCGAACTCTGTTTGTCGAGGCTGGCGTACGCGCACACACAGTTGCGTACTTATCCGCACTGATACAAGTAGCGCACCCACGCGCTCATGCACGCACGCGCATGTTGTTCCGACGACCTTTGGATGGTCAGTCCTTGTGCTTGCTGGTGCGTCTGCTCGTTCTCGCGGGCCCCTGGACAGTCGTTGCGCGAGTAGCGTGCGACAAGTCAGTTGTGGATTCCTCTTGTTGCTTGTCGTGGTTTGTCGTGGCTTGTCTGGATGTGTAGGGATACGCGGGGGTCGCTATGCTCTTGAACTCGCGTAGAAGTGCAGATTTGTTTTGACTTGCGCTGGGTGGGTTCGTCGAGAGAAGTAGGTGTCAGACAAGCGCAGTGGCGAGGAGGGTTGACCATCACTGTCTCAGGTCGGCCAAGCAGGCACTGACCAGACCGATGTTGTGGCACCCTGGCCGGCCACAGAGGTGCTTCTGTGGGCAGGAGCAGACGGTGATCTCGAGGACAGGACGGGCCAAAGTCCCTCCTTCCCTCCCTGTGCCCCCTCATCCCCCCTTGCTCCTCTCACCTCCTCCTCCCTGTCGGTGCACGAGCGGCGCAACAAAAAAGGGGGCCGTCCTCACCGACATTGGCGCGCAAGCTGCTCGCGTAAGGTCACGCGCAGGCGCCCTCGCTTCCAGCGCAGCGCGCCGCGCTGGCGGCCCGCGTAAGCCGCCGCGTCAGGTCGCTGTGCCATCTCGCGTAAGGCCCGTTTCCGATCGCCGCCCCTATGTTGGGAAGCCCTCCTTCTCTCCTTATGCCCCCCTCTCGTCCCCCATGCCTCCTCTCCCCTCCCCCGCCGTGTCAGTACGCGGCGCCGTGCGCAAGCGCAGGCAGAGAAAATGGCGAGGCCACCCGCCAGAGTCCGGGCAGTTCTGGACAACAATGCCGCGCGGGTCTGCGCGGCGGACCCTTTGCGCAGCTCCACCGAGTGCGCGCGGGCGCGCCGTCCGTGCAGGGGGCGGCGGTGGCCCGCCGCTCTCTGAGGCCAGGCTGTTGTGGCTCGGATGTTGAAGGCCTGGCCGTCCAGGCACGCAGCGCCGTCGGGAGCCACTCGCCGAGCTGTGGTCGCGGGAAGAGCAGTCCTCGAGCCCAGGCGCGGGAGGCTGCGTCTTGGGAGCGGATGCGGCCGCGTCTCGGCGCCAGCAGCGCGACACCGTCGGATCGTTTTCGGCCATTGACGCATTTTTGTGCGGCCCCCTTTCGAAGCTGAGAGACGTGCGTCAGTAGTGCTCTTGGCTGAACGGCCCGTGCAGAGTTGAAGGGTGCATTGGGCGCTTGACTGAGGTCCCCCCCGCCCGGTCACCTCGATGCCACCAATTGCGCAGCTGTTTCCACTATTGTCGGTTCTTGGGGGGTCCAAGTGAGTTGTGTTGGCAGGTCCAGATCAGACCTCGCCTGATTAGGCGATGCTTTAGGTGAGTCCATTGGCGTGGTGTCCACAGCATACCGAAGTGGAGTCTCTCCTGCTTGGGAAGTGGCAATCGCGCAACTGTCTGCGTTCCTTCGGCTCCAATTGAGTTCAGCGGAGTGGTGACCTACGCGAATCCACATGTAATCTCGTCTCCCTGGGCGCTGTATGTCTTCGCCTCACGGGGCAACGCGAAGTGCGCAACGTTTGCCACCTTCGTGGGCTTTGCGAAGTCAGCGGGGCGAAGTGCTAAACGGCTCAAACTAGATGTTCCTCCAGTGGGCGTTGTCGACAGCACAAGTGTCGCAATTTTCACGACCTTTTGTATGTGAGGTCCAGCGGAGCGACGTCTTATATCTACAACCAGCTTTACCTTTCTTTGGGCAACACGCGCCCTTGCAAACGTTCGTGTGTGTTTGGGTGTGCCCGTTTTATATCCCCATAGGTTGCAGATGTGTTGGGTATACCCCTGGAAAATTTTTGACGGCCCCGGGCCCGCAAACGGCCCCACACCCAGCAACAATCCAAACGCTATCCGTCCTGATTTCCGAAGCGATACCGACTTCTTCTTCCTTTTCTTTCTCCTCCTCCTCCTCCTTCTCTTTTTTTTGGCGGTCCCCCGGGATATCCAGGGAACTTTGGCAGAGGCCTCCGCGAAGGTTTCCAGAGGCCCAAACAGGCCAAACCCGTCCAACAAAGCTGTACCTTCGAACGACGACGACGACGACGACGACGACGACGACGACGACGACGACGACGACGACGACGACGACGACGACGACGACGACGACGACGACGACGAGCAGACTCGGGACAGCGCTGGCCTGCCGGACGGCCGGTGCAGGGCCTCGCCCGGAGACCCCCGCCCCGGGAGGACTCCGACGGGCTCACGCCGCTCGCGCTGGCCTGCAGCCTCAACAGGCCGACCGCTCTCCAGGAGGAGGCGGAAGTGGACAGACGTCCTACCCTGACGCGTCGATTAAGGAAGTGGCCGTTTTCGGTTCGCGAGAGGGCGTCGCGGCCGTCATTTTTGCGGGTCCAAGTCCGTCGGTTTCGGTCCCAGGCCGTTTTCACTAAAGGGAGGTTTACTAAAGGGAGGTCCTCCACCGCCGCAGGAGGATCTCGGAGGAGGAACTCTCAGTTTCGTAAGAAGGGGGACGGGGCCACAACCCTCTCGGACGGGCAATTCTAGACCCCCCCCCAACAGGCCACGGGAGGGCGGTCTCTTGCCCAGGCACCCCCGAACAGGCCGACCGCCCTCGATGAGGGGGATCTCACCAGGACCCCCGCCCCCGCCCGAGACTTCCTTTCATTTTATTCAGGAATCGCGCTCTCGCTTGGGATTTCCTTACAATTTATTCAGGAATCGCTCTCCCGTCGCTTTGGAGTCGAGCTCTCGCTGGAGACTTGCTTGCAACTTACTGAAGAATAGCCTTGCGTTGGAATTTCCTGCAATTTGCCCAAGCGCCGCGCTCCGACCCAGGCTCCCTCGGGCCACGGGAAAAAAAATCACGACGGAGGGTTTTTTCCGCTCTGCTCAGCCTCCGGGGGCCCTTGCCGGGCCTCGGGGTCGTCAAAAAACGGCACAGGATGAGAAGCGTGTCCCGGGGAATGGGTCGAGAATTCTGGGGGTCGACGTCATGGAAAAATCAGGACGTCGGGGGTCTGGGAAGCGGGAAAAGGTATTTCACATTTTGTAATAAAAGGGAGGGGGTCACAACCCTCTGATGTGGGCAATTTTAGACCCCCCCAGCAGGCCATGAAAAGGCGGCCTTTTGCCCGGACCCATTGGAACCCTCCAAGACCGCTCAAATCAGACCCTCTCCAAAATCAGACCACGCCTTTTTAATAGGGAAATTCAGAGTGTCGATGCCGCTACCTTTCCCTCGTTTTCCCATTTCTTGCTCCTGGCCCCCTGGGAGGCACTCGTCGCCATGGCTGGATTCGCTTCGAGATTCTGGTCGGGGCGCACTCCGGGAGAGGTCTGGGGAGTCCTGGTATCGGTACCTTTTGGTTTCCCCAGGGGAAAAATCAGGCAGAGTTCATTTCGGCTCCTCCGACTCGATTCGGTTCGATTTCGGTCGATTCCGATACCGATTCGACTCGACTTCGGGTTCCGATCTGGATGTCGGCTTCTCAATGGAGGCCTTACCAGCCTGCCGATTTCCGCCGATTCGACCACTCCCGACTTGGCTGCCGATTTCCGCCGATCCCATTCTTTCGATCGCTGATCCGACTGAGGGATTCGATTCTGAGCTGTCCTGCGTTGGGGGGGACAGGCTCAGGAGGGGATGCATCGACCCCCAGTCGCCCGTTGATCGCTGGTAGGAGTCCGACAGGCCACCCCGCCCAGGACCATGCGGTTTCGCTATCGGGAGCCTATCGGCGAGCTATCGGCCACGTATCGCCGATTCCAGGTCCATGCCCGCTCCCCTCTCTCAGCCAGTCTCCCCCAACCGTTCCCCCGCAGGAGGTGGAAGGTGGAGGAGGAGGAGGAGGAGGAGGAGGAGGAGGAGGAGGAGGAGGAGGAGGAGGTCGTGGACCCAACACCAACCATGCCCACCTCAGCACAGCGTGTGCCCTCCGCCGGCCAGACGAAGCCACCGCGGCCGAACTCGGCACCGGGCGCTGCAGGCGGTGCGCCGCGTGGGGCCCGCGGGCGCGTCGGAAGGGCACCCGACGTGGCGGGAGGGCCTGCCGAGCCTCACGTTTGCGCGAGGCGCGGGGGCGGTGCCGAGCCCGAGCACGCAGCCGCACGTTGTGCATCGGCGGCGCCCGCGGGCGCTGGCCGCGCGAGGGCCGGGACCACCACCGGCGGGGCGGGGCGCGCCGGGCGCGCCGGGAGCGCGCGGAGCGAGAGGACCGTGCAGAGGCGACGACAGGGGCGAAGATAGCCCAGGGGAGAGCACTACATGCACTCAGGTGCGCCGATGATCCACAGCTTCGAGGAGGCTCCCGGGCGAAGGCGTGTAATTCATGCCCGCCCCCTGGGCTCTCTCGCCCCTGTCGCCGCCGCCGAGGGGAGAGGCGGAGGTGCTCCTCCTCCTGCCCGCTCGCCCCCCCCCCCCGAGCCAGGCGCGGCTCCCACGACAGCCTGATCGCCGTCCTCTCCACCGCGGGCGCCGGCGGCACGCCCCTCTGACCGGGCGGGCGCCCTCGCCGCCTGCCGCGGCTCGCTGCCCCGGCGCGGCGCCCCTCGCCGCCTCGCGGGCCGCCCGGCGCCGAGGAGGGCCCGGCATGGGGTCGGTGCAGGTGCGCGCGTGTCCGGCGCCCCGCGTCAGCAGTCTCGATTCCGAGGGAAGGGGGGGGTCTGATTTGGGGGGGGTCTGACTTGGGGCTGTCTTGGAGGGCGGGGGGGGGGGGTCTGGCGAAGAGGTCTGAGTGGGTCTCCCGCTGGGGGTGGGTGGAGAAATTCGAAGGCAAGCTGGGCGAGGGCTGCTGAAACCGTGGCTGCTAAAACGGCCCTCCCGGAAGGAAACAAAAATTTCCCGGAATGAGGCGCGGCACGCGAAACAGTTCAAGGAGCTTCTTCCCAGAAGGACGAAGACAACTTCCCGAAGGTCGATTTTAGCAGCCACGGATTTAGCAGCCCTTGCCCGGCTTCCGACAGACTCCCCACCGTCTTACGGAATTGCAAGTAATCTATACACGCCGGTCGTTGAACATAGCTATTTCTGGATTCCCAGATCTCAATCTGCTAAGCGCCTTCCTGACCAAGAACCGATATGCTTTTGCTCTGTTTTGTTGTTCTCTGGGAGGGCCTGAACCCAATCTAATTTAGCTGCCTTTCTACTTCATGTTTCTACCCACTTCCTTCCGACCGACGTGTACCTTCAGAGGAGGAAAAGGTACCCATACCGCAACCATTGCCTCGTTTTCGCCTTTTTGGGCCTCCTGCGAGGCCCTCGTCGCCACGGCTGGATTCGCCTCGAAATCCTGGTCAGAACGCACCCCAGGAGAGGTCCGGGGAGTAGCGGTATCGGCACCTTTTGGTGGCCGCACACCTGGATTGGCAGGACAGGTCGTGGCTATGTTTCCGGGCGCCCGTTTGCAATGGGCACGCAGGGCGGCCATGCTTGTCTGGCTTAGTGGCTTGATAATCGCTGAACCCACTCCTGTGTCAGGGTCCCTGGTGCCTGCACCAGCTCTTAGCAGGATGGCGCGCGGGTGAGCAGGGCTGCCCACGGTTCCAGCGGTTCGGTAGTGTGCCAAGTTCGCGCGTGGCGTCGATCGATTTGACTGCGCACTTCCAAGGGCAGCCCTCCTCAACGCACGGGCCGCTCGGCTTGATCGCATCGACCGTGCAAACGCATGATCTGTATGTGCGTGCATGCATGTAGCGAGCGATTATGTGATTGACGGCAGTCTTGGGGAAGCTGTCGGTGTCGAATATCCTCCGATCGCGATGAGGATGGGGATGAACATGGGGATGGGGATGGGGAGGACGAGGAGGATGAGTATGATGATGATGATGATGATGATGATGATGATGATGATGATGATGTTGATGATGATGAGGATGATGATGCTGATGATGATTATGATGATGCTGATGATGCTGCTGCTGCTGCTGCTGCTGATGATGATGATGATGATGATGATGATGATGATGATGATGATGATGATGATGATTACGATGAGGTTGCTGGTGAGTTTCGTGTGCGCGCCATCTTCAGCAGGTGGGCGGGCGAGGCGCATCCAGGCCACTCAGTGCGTGCAGGGGCACGTGGGTGTGGACGGGGCCCTTCCATCGCAGAGCATTGCCGATGCATCGGCGACGCCGCGCTCGGCGACGTGGCGCGACCTCTGGGGCGTTGCCTCGCGCTCTTTTCGAGCCTGGCTGGGCGACTGAGTGCGGAGCGCCCGGAGCTGTCGACCCCTCGCCCAGGACCGTTGGCAGGACCGCCTACGATCGGATTCGATGCGATTGGATTCGCTGGCTAGGGCCGCGATTCTGATTCGATTCGATTCGATTCGATTCTATTCACTCGCATCGGCTGTGGCCAGCCACAGCCAGGCGCGGCGATCCGGTTTCGTCTTGATTCGGGACGATTCGCTGGGGATCCGGTCTGTTCCCGATCGGAGCCAATTTCGCGATTCGATCCAGCTCAGTCCTGGTTGATTCGTCCTGCATCATTCTTCGATGGCCCGGCAGAAGTCCCAGAATGCCTCCAGGAGGCAAAGGACCAGCGATCCCTCTCCCACTGGGCGGACTGCAGGCAGGGGGAGCAGCCAAGCAGGCCAGATAATTCAGAGTCGCCGAGAGTCGTTCCCCTAAAGGCCCCCACGAGGGCCCCAGGGAAGCTCCAAGAGGGCCCCAAGAGGGGAGCCCCAAAGGCCTCCAACATTGCCTCGAGAGGGCCCCAACGGCATACCCCGAGAGGCTCCCAAGAGGCTCCCAGGGGGACGGACCTGCAAATGCCTTGATGGTTTCCTTCTGTCGTTGTCGGCGTCTCCTGGAGGTGAAGCAAGCTGCCCTCCCTCTCAGACATCGCAGCAGTGGCCACAGACTCATCGGCCTCTCGCTGCTCCTCTGCGAGGACAGCAGGTCAAGAGCGAATATATCAGGAGGGGGAAAACACACAGACACAATTATTTGTCGATTTCCAGGAAACTATGGGAAAATATGGGAAGTGGGGGGGAAGACAAAAACCCAGAAAATATGCGAAAATATTGGGGAATATTTTATTTGTGTCTATTTATTTGTGTGTCCTGGGGCCCCTTCAATATAGATTGCCAGATCTGTGTCTCTCCTGGACGGTACTGCACGAAGAGGCTCCCACCGACTTCGACCAGGCCGGCAAGAAAGTTAAGTCGGGCCTGTCCCCCTACAGGGGGAGTTTCGACGAGAGAAAAAGTACCCCAAAAATCACCAAGCATAGTCAAAAAATAGTGTGGGGACTATTTTTGGGGTATTTTTGGTGTATTTTTTGGGTATTTTTTATTTTTCGTCGAAAATCCCGCTGTAGGGGGACAGGCCCGACATAACAATAAACATGTGTGGGGGGTCTAGGATTGAGGGAAAAGCGGCCCCAAACGGCTCTTGAATTGCAACCGTAAGCCCAGAATGTGAACGAGAGGTGCGAGCTTCTTCGCCCCGCACTTTTCGATGCAACTCCTGGGCGGAGAAATTCAGCATCGGCTCTGGCATATCCATGGTCGAAAAAACTTGTCGAATCCAGCACAATCCCACTTAATTTGGCCTATCCCTGGCCTTGACCGGCCTGATCTGGCTTAATGGCCCCTTGATCGGGCTTACTATCCCTTCCTCGTTCTTGCGAAGACATCCAAGAGGTTGCCTCCAAAACCCGCGTCTATCGCCCCCCGTTAGCGAACCCACCACACACTGCCCCTCGAACATGAATCTCCGAGTCTTCCTCGCGCCGGCGCTGGCGACGCGGTCGAGGGCGCGGCGCGAGCTCGGAAGCCCGAATTTGTCGTTGTCCCAGTCGCGGAGACACGCATTTGGGGTAGGTGCCGCGGAGGAGTAGAGCGATGAGGAAGAGGAATACAACGAGATGACGATGATGATGAGGAGGAGGATGAGGAGGAGGATGAGGATGATGATGATGACGATGATGATGATTATGATGATGACGATGATAATGATAATGCTGCTGATGATGAGGATGAGGATGAGGATGAGGATGATGCTGCTGCTGCTGATGATGGTGGTGGTGATGATGATGATGATGATGATGATGATGATGATGATGATGACATAGATGGTGATGATGATGGCGATGGTTGTGGTGGTGACGATGGTGATGGTGACTGTGATGGTGATGGTGATGGTGACGGTGACGGCGACGGTGACGGTGACGGTGACTACGACGATGGCGACGACGACGAGGATGATGTTGATGATGATGCTGAAGATCATGGCGATGATGATGGTGATGCTGATGATGATGACGGTGGTGGTGATAATGCTGCTGATGATGATGGCGACGGTGGTGATGATGGTGATGATGATGACGACGAAGGTGATGATGATGAGGATGAAGATGCTGCTGATGATGCTGATTATGTTGTTGATGATGATGATGCTGATGCTAATGCTGATGATGATGACGGTGATGCTGCTGCTGATGATGATGATGATGATGATGATGATGATGATGGCGATGGTGATGGTGATGGTAATTCTGACGATGATGCTGCTGCTGCTGATGATGATGATGGTGATGGTGATGGTGATGCTGGTGATGATTCTGATGATGATGATGATGATGAGGAGGATGATGATGATGATGATGGTGATGGTGATGGTGATGGTGATGATGCTGCTGCTGATGATGATGGCGATGCTGATGGTGATGGTAATTCTGCTGATGATGCTGCTGATGATGCTGCTGGTGATGTTGCTGCTGATGATGGTGATGATGCTTATGATGGTGATGATGATGGATTAGGCTGATGATGATGATGATGATGACGACGATGATGATGATGATGATGATGATGATGTGGATGATGAGGCTGATGATGGTGCTGATGATGCTGAATCTGATGCTGATGATGCTGCTGATGATGATGCTGCTGATGCTGATGGTGAGGAATATGGTGATGCTGTTGAGGCTGTTGATGATGATACTGATGGTGATGTTGATGATGCTGATGCTGCTGCTGATGTTGATACTGATGCTGCTGATGATGATACTGCTCATGCTGCCGCTGCTGATGATGTTGATGACGCTGCTGATGAGGACGATGATGGCTATGTTGATGCTGCTGCTGCTGATGATGATGATGGTGGTGACGATGATGATGTTGATGTTGTTGGTGATGATAACGACGATGATGCTGATGATGGTGTTGTTGACGTTGTTGATGTTGTTGTTGTCGTTGACGTTGTTGTGGTGGTGGTGGTGATTGTTGTTGCTGTTGCTGTTGCTGTTGTTGTTGTCGTTGTTGTTGTTGTTGTTGTTGTTGCTGTTGTTGCTGTTGAACATTATTTATTCTAAAGAATAATTATTGTTGGGCCCCCTGGTGCGCGCCCCCCCTGCGCCGCCTAGGCCGCAGCTACATTTTCATCATTTTCGTGAGGAAGCCTCAGAAAAGAGGGTGTGTACAGGATCCGGTTGTTTTGTTGTAATCCGCTTTCCCTTGCAAAAAACAATAGAAAATGACATTTCTTGT